GACAATATTTAAATATAATATATCCTAGACTGACAAATCATCTCCGTTCAGAATCGTTTTTCGTATACAATGATACCTATCATTGCATTCAAATTTAATCCCATCCATTACAGTAACCTACAGACTGTACAGCAGAGCGACATCCACGACTTACCCGCTTTTTTTATTTTGAATATACTAAGCAAATGGTATATGTATAATATATTGTACTTAGTTAAGAGTTTATCGAATTCTAGGTCTGTGGCCGGTACATATGTATTTTTTTTAGGCGGGTGCAAATGTATACAAATCGGGAACAAAAATATGAAATTGGTTAGATTACTGTAATGATTACTTACGAGTTACGAGTGTCTTCAGTGGGACGACTTCTCTTATAAAATTAGGTACTATATTATTTATGACTTATGAGTTATCTTGTTAACTAATAAAAGTATAAAACTCATATTATGCATTTTTTATACCGATGAATTAAATATTTTTAGGAATAGGTATGGACCATCATTTATTTAGAAACCATCTTATTTCTTCAAAAATTCCGGTCCATGCACGGAATGCATGCGCTTGAGTGGATACCAGCCACAAGCTACATATATAATTATAGCATTTATCCATAATATTAATTCATAGTAATTAGTAACGTTGACCGATCAATATGTTTGATAATAGTATATACTATATTGGTAGTATAACAATATAATTAGCACTATATTATTACCGGCGTGGTAATAACATACTATAATTTATAGTCTACGAATTATACTGCACCTATAGTAGATACGACGATATTATGTTAGGTATTAGGGATAAGTGGGTTTATGGTAATAATATATATTGAACCTATCCATTTGAAACGAAACACTGGACAGCGATTAGTGATTACTGATTATATATTGTACACAGACATCATGTCATCGTGTCATTCAAGTCCAAAATACTTATAGCTATGTGTGTATTAAAATGTGTAGAAAGAGGCCGTGTGACCTTAAATGTACGCTCAATCGGTGTTCTGTATACTATGAAATATAAATAGGGACTTAATTATTATGATATATTATGYATTTATTTTGAATTTGTTTCGATGGCCGAGTTTCCGTTGTGACATCTACGCGCACACAAACTGTCTTGTATATAGGAAAAAATACATATTTTATTCATGTTCGAACGTTGAGCGCGTAAAACTATTGAAATCGGAATCATCGCGTGTAAATTTATAATCATAGTATGCATGCGTATCTATAATGGCATGCGTTGTAATGTACATACATTTAAATGGATTTTAACTCGAACAAATTGGTTAAGTACACGTGAGTTGAGGGTACTGTCGCGTCCTGCACAGTGGCACGGTTTGTATAGGACACCTCACTGAGAAATTCGAGTGCGAATAATATTTAGGTATATATATATATATATATATATACATCTGTATCTTATAGTTAATTGTTATTACTTATTAGAAATTATCATAATGTTCCAAGATAACATTGTTTGTGCATTTTTGACGAGGTATAGTTTTCCAACGATTATGCGTTAAGTATAATTATTAAATTTCGAAAAACGAAAACTTGTTCCTTCATTTACTTTTGACAATAAATTGTACCAAACGTTCATGATATCATATTTTTGACCTGCATACCAATGTGTAATATAATATCTTTATCAATATTTTTAACATGGCAGTGACTGTAAAAGGTGACTTTGACTTATGATCGTTGTAAAGTTATATATTATGATGCTAGATCAAGCGTCATTATATTTGAGAAAGAAGTTTTCACGTCCTAATTACWGTTTTGGYGTGCTTTTAAAATGTTTATTTATACATTATAATATAGTTGTATATACAAATAATAATTTATGATATTATTATTGAGCATAATATTTGAGAATAAATTAATTAGTTTTGTTCATTTTTTTTTCACGCTTATCTTATGGACATACCTATAGTTTTATGGGTATTGCGCACTGTTATTAACGCGTATTAAGAGTAATTAA